GGGGTCCATCCTCGGACCCCTGTTATTCATTGTCTACATTAATGACCTACCACGTTGTGTCAAACACTGTTCAAATGACCGTGTGAAGGGTGGAGGAGGTCTGATGGCATACTTTTCATCTGTACTTCCATCAAAGCGTCTAAAGCAACTAAGGGTGTTCAAAACAATTGAGGTTCTACCAATCCAATCTAAATTCGGCGGTAAGGATGTTATCGTGATGGGCATCTATAGATCTCCGGAAGTGAATGGGAAGAACTACTATGAAGCTCTGGAAAAGGAATTACATGAAATCTGTTCTTGGATATCTCTTCAGAGACAGTTCTTCATTATTATGGGAGATTTGAATCTCAATAAGCTCAGACCAGGAGAAAAGGAAGGAAAAATTTTGTGTGATCTTGAGTAAGTGTATGGCCTGGAATGTCTGATCAAAGAACCTACGAGGATCACAGAGAATAGTTCCACTCTGCTAGATGTTATTCTAACAAACCAACCAGATTTTTTTCGAGAAAGAGGTGTGTACAACCCAGAGATTAGTGATCATCATATGGTCTATGCGTCGCTCAAGGAGAGAGCAGTGCAACACAAGACCAGAATTCTGAGGGTGCGTAGCTATAAGAACTTTAATGAAGAGAAGTTCAAAGAAGATCTGAAAATGGCCCCTTGGCAGGTGGGTGAGAGTTTCGAATCCGTTGATGAACAGTACGAGTATTGGGAAGCATTACTAAATAAGATCGTTGATGATCATGTACCTACTAGGGACATGAAAGTGAGGGCACCTAATGTACCATACATGACCAGAGAGTGGAAAAATGCAATTACAGCTAAAAGACGCTTCTCAAAAAAATTCAGTAAACATCCCACACCAGAGAATTTTGAATTGAAGAGGAAGTGGCGCAATGAGGCCACCAAGGAAAGAAGAAAAGCAATCAGGCAGTATTGGAAAAAAGTATAAGATAATGTCAAGTCTGATCCAAGAAAGTTCTACAGAACGTTTAGACCATTCACTGACTTCAAGAACAAACAGGGAAACAGCGGTAATATCTGCTTGAAAGTTAATGATGTGTTGGAAGGGGATCAAACCAAAGTAGCTAACCACTTTGCTAATTTTTTCTCCACAGTGGCTGATGGAATTGGAGGAGACCACGTAAATGACTGTGCGGAAAGTGATTTCATGAATCACAACTCTCTTCTCAATATATCGACTTATCTCAACAAGAGAGATCTACAAGTAAACCACTTTGAATTTAACGAAATTGCCTGTGAAGAATTACGAAAAGTCATGAACGACCTAAACCCCAATAAGTCAAGGGGATATGACGGGATGGACCCTAAGATCCTTAAGGTAGGCGCCACTGAGTTAGCTCCATCTCTAACTGTGATTTTTAACCAATTGATTAGAAATGGAGAATGGATAGCAAAGCTTAAGCGTGGAGAATGGATACCGGTACATAAGAAGGATGACAAATAAAGGGATATAAACTATAGACCTATCACGGTGCTGCCATGCGTGAATAGAGTCTATGAAGTATTGCTGGGCCAACAAGTCAGTAAGTTTATGGAAGACAGACTCAGTGATGCTATCACTGCCTATCGTGCAAAGAATAGCTGTGAGACCACGCTGATTAGGCTGACCGAAACATGGAGAGCAGAACTAGACAGCAAGAAAATTGTCGGTATATTGTCATCGGATATGGGCAAGGCTTTTGACTCTCTGAGCCCTCAGTTGCTCATAAATAAACTGCAAGCCTACAATTTCTCCGATAAAGCCATACAGCTCATACGATCATATTTTCAGGGAAGAAAGAACAGAGTAAGGATAGGTTCTGTAACAAGTGACTGGGTTGTGGTGAAGAGAGGATGTCCACAGGGAAGTACGTTTGGACCACTCATATGGAATATTTTCCAAAACGATATGCCTAACATAATATCAGATGCCAATGTCTCGATGTATGCGGATGACCATCAGGTCTTTGTAGCAAATGAAACAACCAAAAGCGTGGAGAAGATACTGGTGGACAATGGAGAGAGGATGACTAAATGGTATCAAGATAATCTTTTAAAAGTCAATTGCGATAAATATCAAGCTATGGTTTTGGGAAATCCAAAAGGAGAAAGGAACGTTGATCTGGATATATGTGGCGAAAAAGTCGAACAGTCACAATCCATCAAGATCCTAGGTGTAAACCTAGATGAAAACCTAAACTTTAGAGATGATATACGTAGTGTGTGTAAGAAAGTTGGCGGGATGATCGGAATATTAAGAAGGCTTAAAAATCTTGCCAGTAAATGCCAAGTTACTTTTGTACAAATCAGCTATTATGCCACACCTTACTTATTGCCACCTAGTGTGGCATTTTTGCACGGTATCTGATAGTCGTAAATTGGAGCGTCTACAAGAAAGAGCCTTAAGATTAGTGTATAATACTACTACCGAAAGTTATGACACCTTGCTGAAAAGAGCTAAGTTAACTACTTTACAAAATAGGAGGTTGCAGGATATACTCATTTTGATGTTTAAAGTAAAAAACAAATTAACAGTGAACCAAATTGCGGATATTTTTAATATCAACGAGGAGAATATTAATAGTAAGAGATATAACCTAAGAAATGCAGATTTTGTCTTACCTCGGTTTAAAACTGTTACTTATGGAAAACATTCTCTCAGATTTCTCGGACCACAATTATGGTCAAAACTAAGCAAGGAGGAGAGAAATATTGCAACTTTGGCAACTTTTAGGACAATTATACGTAAGAAGGATGTAACATCGTTTCTTAAGGGATGTGGGAGTGAACGCCGCTTATGCTTAGATTAAGAGGACGTACGCATATTTACTTATTCATTTTAGTGTCCGAGCTAATATATGCATTTAGTTTTTATATTGTAAATGTTCGAACTTAGCTTCAAAGTGTTAAAAAGTAAATTTAGAACTTAGTTTTTAAAGTGTAAAAGAGCACTTAGCTTGAATAGTGTCAATTTCCGGCCTTTATAGTACTTAATTAGTTTCTATTAATGATGTAATTTAGTTTTAAAGGTGTCCCCAATTAGTGCCAATAGGCACTAGAACGACAAGACACTTTAATAAAGGTTATGTATGTATGTATGTATGTTCTGTAAATATGTACGCTGACGACACAGTTTTATATCTTGCTGGTCCAACTGTTCACAATGTAATTTTTTACATTAACCAAGATCTTCGGTGTTTGTCTGAATGGCTAGAAGACAATAATCTTGTTCTCAATGTTTCAAAAACTAAGTATCATCTCAAAGGCATAAAGAGCGCGATTGCATTTTAAATCTTAATCTTCTCGGAAAGTAGGTATTTAAAAGTAGTTTCGCAAGATATGGAGGCGTGGTGTTCGACAACTTTATGACTTGGAAGGCTCACGCGGACTATGTGTGTAAAAAGGTGGCGTCGAGAGTTAGTATCCTAGGCCGTGTTAGAAGTTTCGTCACAAAAGAGGCAGCAACACTTGTTCACAACGTTTTAATTCTTCCATTATTTGATTACTGTGACATTGCCTGGAGTAACCTTCTACAGCAAGATATAGATCGACTACAGCGCCTACAGAATAGATCTGCACGGATTATCACACGTTGCTCTCGTTCATCTGAAGCAACAGAGCAGCTGCACTGGCCGACTCTTTCCAGCAGACGCTCTTACCACAAGGCTAAACTCGTTTTTCTCTGTCTTCACTCATTAGTTCCTAGTTACTTTTCATTATATTTTACTAGATTTTCGAACATTCACAATTATTCCACAAGGCAAAGTATGAGGCTATCCCTACCAAACGTTAAACAAAATTTTGGGAAAAGGACCTTTCTTTTTATTGGCGCAAAATTTTTTAACAATCTCCCTTTAAACATTGTGAAGAGTGAAAACATTCAAACGTTCTGCCGCCGAGCAAGACATTTCGTTTTATCATAACTTTGATATTTTGTTACTATTTTAGGCTTTAAATGTGATTTTGCATTGTATTTTTAGGCTTTTTAATGTAGTTCTTAAATTCTAGTATTGTATTTTTATTAGGCTTTTTAAATGTAATAGTTCATGAAAATTCTTGATGTAAATTAATTTTTTTAAGATACAGGGCCCCTATGGAGACCAGCCTTAGAGCTGAATGGGCTACCCTGTGTAAATAAAGTTTTACTTTACTTTACTTTACTTTACTCCCGCTAGGACGTGCGTGTCCAAATGCCCAGCAATCTCTAACTTGTAAATTTACCCTCAAGATTTTTAAATGAAAAAAACTCGGTTCCTATATCATTCTGCAGCCCAAATCTTGACGGATGGCACTTTCAGTTTCTTTTCGAGGCAGTTTTAAAACAGAGTTATTCATGGGTTGAAAAAATCTGGCAGTGGTCTCTCTTCTTGCCTTCTTCGGTCAATTCTCTGGCGAACTATGTTAAGAGCTGCTCAACTGTCGCAAAAAATTCAGAACGATTTTGCAATTACATGCACAATGTAGGCAAAGTATCACTAATTCACTTTGTTTGAAATCATTGGTCAACAACCCTCCGGTGCCCGTGGGGAAGTGCAAGGTAATTTGATGCACCCCCTCCTCCTAGGGCCTACAGAATTCCCCATAGTTTTTACTTTGATTAACTTAAGAGTCATCTTCACAAACATAGGTCATATGGTTTTCATAATGTTGAAGAAGAAGAGCCTCACTACTCATCTCCTCTTGACAAATCCAGCAGCTGTAATTCTCAAAGATGACCAATTGTGTATCTGATACATCAGCGTTTCCAGTCTTCCTCTGTGTTTGAAGGTTGTTTCTAAAACCTATGGCTCTAACAATAACGTTTTTACCTCTCGCTCTCTTCCGCTTGAAAGATTCCAAACGTTTAGAAACACTTTTGTTTTTCCGGGAACATTTACGTGACTCAACAAGGGTCTGGATTCTCTCATGCTTCCCCAGGCTTCCTGCTTCACAGAAACACTTACCACACTGTTTACATTCGTAAGGCTTTTCCCCAGTGTGAACTCTTTCATGAATCCTTAGGGTTCCTGCTTGGCTAAAACACTTGCCACACTGTTTACATTCATAAGGCTTTTCCCCGGAATCCTTAGGTATCCTGCTTGGCTAAAACACTTGCCACACTGTTTACATTCATAAGGCTTTTCCAAAGTGTGAACTCTTTCGTGAATCTTCAGGTGTGCTGCATTTCTAAAACACTTGCCACACTGTTTACATTCGTAAGGCTTTTCCCCAGTGTGAACTCTTTCATGCATCCTTAGGTTTCCTGCTAGACTAAAACACTTGCCACACTGTCTACATTCGTAAGGCTTTTCCCCAGTGTGAACTCTTTCATGCATCCTTAGGGTTCCTGCTTGGCTAAAACACTTGCCACACTGTTTACATTTGTACAGCTTTTCCCCAGTGTGAATTCTTTCATGCATCCCTAGGGTTCCTGCTTGGCTAAAACACTTGCCACACTGTTTACATTCATAAGACTTTTCCCCAGTGTGAACTCTTTGATGAAGCTTTAGGGTTCCTGCTTGGCTAAAACTCTTGCCACACTGTTTACATTTGTAAGGCTTTTCCCCAGTATGAACTCTTTCATGAATTCTTAGGTTTCCTGCTAGACTAAAGCACTTGCGGCACTGCAGGCACTCAAAGGACATTGGGTTTGTTCTTCTTCTCACGTGTTATAGTTATGGTACCCTTTGGCAGGAAAAAGAAATATTCTCAGGTAAATGCACAATGATGTTATGTTTTGGTGCCCCAACTTTGTAGCTAGGGGGTGCGAGATCTGAAGATTGCGAGGGAGAATTAGAAAAAAAATTAGAAAACTTTAAAGATGCCTGCCTATGAAAAAGTGGTTCTAGAGCTTTTATAAACTGACTACATACCTACATGTACAACTTTCCATGACCCCTTCAACATGGAGAATCCATCAGTAGGGTTAATTTTATCATTATTTTGTTGACTTTGTATTTGATATGTGGTTTGTAAAATAACACGCATTTATAAATGGTAATTAAGGCTCATCATGCAGCTGTAATACAGAAAATAGTGGAACCTGTATTACTGTAAATCCTTTATAATGCTTTCTAGGGGCTTATTTTTTAAGCATGTTTACCAGAGAGTAAGGATTATTTCAGAGGGAGGGTTATTTCATTTAGTGAGATGCATCACCAAAAGCAAAGAAAAAAAGTAGAGGAAGAAGCATACTAAAGAAACGGTTGCCTTTCGCCGATCAACAGCATCGTCTGGGGTGAGAAAACAGTATTCCACATAGTAATATACATGATGAAAAAAGTGGTGTAAAGCAAAATGTGACAAAAGCGAAAAAATGGGGCGCAATGACCGGAAACCGCGCTAGAAAAGTCTCTGGCACACAGGCTAACCAGAGGTATAAAAATAAAAACTTCAGCTAGTGTCACTCTCAAAAGGCATAATGATAGTCTTTAAAACAAAATGTCCACAAACTCATTGCAATCCTCACGTTAGTTTAGGCCTGTCTAAATGTAAATTGAGCAGCAAAAGAACATGCTGGTTGACAAAATGGCCACAAACGTGTTGCAATCCTCACGGAAGGTGAGGGGCCGTGAGGACTAGCTCAATGTAAATCGAACTGCGAAGAACACGCTGGTTATGATAAAAGTTTTGGCAGTATAAACCTATTCATTGAACAGCTACTGCTTCAAATTCAATTTACAAGGAAAAGAGAACACTGAAAACTAGCTGCAAGGAAAGAGCTGGCTCCAACAAAAATTTGAGCTTACAACCCTATTCTTTGATCAGCTGTTTCTTTAAACATAAATTATAAAGCAAAACGGAGCACTAATAGCTCTTTCAAACAAGAAATCGTATTAAAGCTTTCTCACCCGTTAGATCCTCAGGAACAGATAATGATCAGTTTTACACTGGATCACTTTATCTCGGGCCAGGAGTTGCAACTAAAAGACCATGGCGTGATTGCCCAAATATGGGGTCTTACTTACATTCAAATAATTTTATGGTCAAAATTCAAATTATATAAGGTTACACAGAATTATGAATCTTCAACGGAGGCAACCTCGCTTCTTAGCTTGGTTGTCTCGTTGGCAGTAACATAGTTTTACAATTATTATATTGGTCATTAAGGTTTATCATGCAGCTTTCCTACAAACAATATAGTGGAACCTGTATTACTATAAATCCTCTATAAAACTCCCTGGGTGCTTATTTTTTAAGCATGTTTAACAGAGAGTGAGGATTATTTGATAGGAAGGTTACTTACTTTAGTGAAATGCATTACCAAAAGCAAAGAAAAGGGAGAGGAAGAAGCAGACTAAAGTAATGGTTCCCTACTTCCTGTTCTGAAACTGGAACAAACAAACATCAAACAAACAGCTGCCAGAAGATGATATCAAAAAATTAATTCTGTATAAAACAAGTGGAATGCAAATTGGAAACACTCAAGCACATAAACTTGGAGGTTATGCAGTTGAAGATTAAAAAGAAATCGCGACTTCTAGCACATGAATAAGTTATACCAGAACAGCAGTGATTTTGTTACAAATAGTTATGGTACAGTGCACGTCCTGGGACAAGTGGGAAATCATGAGTCCCAGTTCAAAACACAATGAGATCTAAGGGACGGTTCATTATTTATGGGAATGACCGGGTCAGGAAAAAACCGAACGGGCCTTGAAGATTTTTCTTTCTGTGGTGACGAGCTTTGTGTTTTTTTCTTGAACAAAGAGATCGGGCTCTAAAAAAATATGAACTTAGGCTAAAACTGTGGTAGAAATGCGACAGTTATTTGGTGAGTCAACACATGGAAACTGTATTGGTATTGAAATACACCCAATAAATTGTGGTACAGGGAGAGAGTAGATGACGCGCCGGTGTTAGAGGATTTCATAACTGCTCTCCCCGCTGGAAAAAATGAAGCTGAGGAGGAGTAATCTTGAGGAATACCAATCTGCGAATCAGAATAGGAAATCATGGGTCCCTGGAAGTGCGAACATTAAAAAAATTCTACAATTCATCAATGCCCATTACAAAATTAATGATCTCTTTATGGTGTACTTCTATGATGACTACTCTACCATGATCACTGAACGTTGTTCGTTTCATTCTTACTTCTAACAAAGGATGGACAAGCCCTGTGCCCATGAAACATATTCCCCAGCCTGTGCCAGATCCTGAAAATCCCACCCATTTTAAATTGGTCAATGAGACACCAACTACCACAGAAAAGGGCAACCTCGAGTGCCAGATGATTTTCAACCACATGTAAACGTAAAGAAAATGAAAAGTAGGTTGAGTTTGATCGTCCGGGTGAACATAGTCCTGAATAGGACTGTTGTTGACAGTGACTGACGTTTCGACAACCTGTACGGTAGTCATCTTCAGAGTCAAAGTGAGTTGTATCATGTCAGTTGATGGTATTATACTCCGGTTATTGATCTGATTGGTCAATTACGTCGCAATGTTATTGGTCGTGTGTCAGTTAAGCCGTGATGTTATTGGCTATGAAGACTTATAATCAGTAATTGGTGCGTTTCGATCCGTCTATTGTCACAGTTAAACAGTCGTCTATTGTTAGTCAAATTGTCAGTTCTCCAGTCCTTCTCTCGTAGTTAGTTTTGCTTGATCTCGTCAATAAGTCGCTTGTACGGGGCTGGTAACTGTTGGCTACGATTCAGTGGCCTTTGTTCTAAGTTAGCAAACCAGGGCCCAGTTGTTCGAAGGCCGATTTTTGGTTTCTTTTCCTTGTGTTCAAAAGCATTTTCTCGGATAATTTTCTCTGTTATTTTTAGAGCTTCCAATCATCAACTAGTAGACAAAAAGAATTAAAACTGAAATGCTTTTTAAGCTTTCAAATCTGAATTCAAATCTCGCACTAACCCTGGGTTAACCCAGCTTTGAACAACTCGGCTCAGCTTTCTAAAGTAAGACGTTGATAGTAGTCTGTACAATACGTTATACAAGTCCCAGAGTCCCAGTCAATTTGATGTTTTTTATCCATTTTATCTTTTGTAGACATTTTTTTACCATCATTACTTTTAACTTTATTTCATTTTTTTTAGTTAGGCGTCTTGCGTTATTACATGCAATAGGCCATTTTACAGTTATGGACGGTAGCGAGGCTGAGGGTGACCTTGTTTTGATACAAACCTTCCTGCTTTATTATGAAAATCAAGTTATTCTTATGCTTACTAGTATTTCTCAAGAACAATTACCATAACAAAGCAAAGAAGGTTTGTATCAAAACAAGGTCACCCTCACCCTCGCTTTCATCCATAACTGTAAAATGGCCTATAGTAAAATAATCATGAAAAGATAAGTTTAAAGCTAATTGAAGCCTTCAGATACCAAACAACGTAATATGCTTGGAAACATAAAAAAAAAAAATTAAAAGAAGCAGATAGATATTTGTATCTGGGAAACCAAGTTCAGGTCCGTTGTTATTAGGATCTGATGGCCCCATATCGAGCCCGAAAGTAGTATGACTCGGAATCATCTGTGTACTGTGTGTTCTCATCCGAGTAGCTAGCTGCTGTCATTTGACTTTCACAACTGAATATATCCATAATGTATTGAAAACTTTCTTACCTTTAGTAATAAGACCTTGTCGCTTTGATCAAATCACAAGAGGGAAGATAAAACCAAGAACTGAAGGATTCATAAATCACGTTCTGATGGCTGCCATTTTGATTTTCACATCGTGGAAGGAACCATGGCAAAGTGCAAAAACCCGTGAGGAGTGGGGACCTAAGCTAGATGATATGAACTTAGTGTGGGCACGGGTGACGGGTTTTTTTTTGTTTGTTTGTTTGTCTAAGTGGAATGCGTTACCAAGCGAAATTGTTAACATTAAGTCCGCAGATCGATTCAAAAAACTCTTATTTGAGCATTTTAGTCAATGATGAATTTTATTATTGTACAATATAATTAATGCTATGATATTTTTCTCCATTTTGTTATTGCTATCATTATTTTAAACTGTATTTCATATTATTTAGCTAGACGTCTTGGCACCAATATTAGCTAATATTGCAAGACTATAATTTTTTGAATAGAGGCTAAGCAATTGGATGACTTTACTTTCAACACTTTTACTTTTAGTTATCCTATCTTTTTTGCACGCGTAAATCACTCCAAATATATTCAATGTTCATACAAAGATTGCGGTGCCAAAATATAAAATATCAGCAAGTACAAGCGACAAACCGTTGAATGGTGCCGGATCTCTTAGTTGTAGACCTGGATCAGTACAATGAAAACTTGTACCAAATCATAAACAAACTGATCCTTAAAACAGAAAATATACATATTGAAATATATTTGTCTACCGTAAATCCTCTATTAAGCCCCCCGGGGGCTTATTTTCTTCAAGCACTTTTGAGGTGGGGAGGGCTTAATAGAGAGGGGGGCTTAAAAGAGAGGTGTGGGGGGGGGGGCTTATTTGAGGCGAAACGCATCAACGGGAGCAAGGTTTCTCGAGGACGGACTTGTGGTTCCCGGGTGTTATAGTGCCTTTTCTATCAATAAGAAAATGGTAACAATTCTCCACAGAGCGTAGAGTTGACAACCTCGTCCCCAGGGCGCTTTTCCCTTGTAAAGATGAAAAAGTTAAGCACACAAGGTTGGGATCATGTGGGCGAAGACCGAAAACAATATGAATTTCTAGCCTGAATAAAGCATAACTGATCAGTCCACGTTAATTGTTGTTTGTAATTTTAGTTATTTGCAATTATAGTTGATATACTATTTACTGTATAAGTTTCCAAGTTAAATAGACTGTTCACAGTCCCCTATTTTTTCGTGAGATCGTTTAGACACACCCAATTGCAAAGACGTTGTCATAGAAAAATGAAAAAAGGAAAAAGTCAAATAGGAATTAATTCGGCTAACTTAGCCACATTCTCATGGTGGATCTATTTGCAGCAGTTACATTTCCCCGCTGGAATTTTCAGATTTATTGTCTTTCATCTTTAAAACAATAGCAAACTCCAACAGGCAAATACGACGTCCATGTGCGGCTGCTGCAAATGAATTCATTAGGCTTATTAGCCTAATTAATTCCTATTTGGCTTTTTCCTTTTTTCTTTTCTCGAAGACAACGTTATTGCAATTAGGTGTATACCGCGTCTTACCGTCATTTTCAAATGTACCGAGGGGGTGGGCGTCGGGGATTATAGCTCAGGGGGGCGGGAGGGGGCGAGAAAAATAGAGGGACTGTAATAACATCACTGCGTTGTCAACGGGTTTAGTTTAAGCTGCCGACATTGACAAGTCGACGTTTCCATAAAACGTACGATTTCATACCATAAGGCACATCTTGCGCGAACACACGAAGGATTTTGGTATTTTGAGTAATAGGAAAATGTTTTCTTGGGCATGTTTGCCGATTTTATTTCGAGGAATGGCCCAGAACGAAAGGAGATATTTGTAAACACGCGTAATCGATGCTAAATGTGTCTGGCATGTTTTTCATCACCAGCGGAGTTTCTTAATTAATGAATGGTAAAAGGCGTGAAATTCCTGTCACGCCTCCTGAACGCGAGCTGCAGTGATGTTATTACAGTCCCTCTATTTTTCTCGCTTCCTCCCAAACCGACCCCGCCCCCTAGGTAGTTTTGACACTCATGAAAGATGGGTAGCCCGTAACGCAAAGCTCTCGATCTCGATGATCTCACGGGAAAATAGAGGACTGTGAACAAAAAATAAAAAATAAAAAACATATATGTATGCATGTGTTTATGTATGTATTGTTTGTGAAGAATGAAGGGGAGGGGGAGGGGGGACGGGGCTTAATAGAGAGGGGGGCTTATTTGAGAGGGAGGCTTAATAGAGGATTTACGGTATATATTTTTCGTTTTATGTTTACTTCTTCATTGCCCTTTATAACTCATTTTCTGTACGTTCAAGGTTATGCTTTGATTCGAAAATTCAGTTGAATACAGTGGTTTATATTATTCTTTCTTACAGAAGTGTGTCTCGAAGTAAGACGTTATAAGAGACCTTTATTTTTAAATAAGTGACCCGCGCCTTTTGACACATGTCCACAGGTATCTCAAACAAGGCAGAAATCTGGCCTACGACAGGAGCCCATTAGAAAGATCTTGGCGCGAATTTAGAATATCTTTAAAGTCACACAAACCCGTCAGCAAAAACATACAGCCCTAAAAATGATAACTTTTGCCTTTTAATGCGTTCATGGATGTGGCAGACATTCCATTTTCGCGGGAAAAATTGCCTCAAAATGTGTCAAAAAATAAACTGGTCAGTTAAAACGCCGTGACATAGGCCTAGCATGGGGGTTACACGCTCCGGGTTACGGGCTCCAACCTGCGATCAAGCTCTCATGTTTGGGCGAACGAAGGGAGTCGCGAGGGGCCATCCCCCGCTTTCGCATCTCCTCTCGCGTGCCTCACGCGCGTCACTTTTCACGATATCCCCAAATGAGCTTGCTCGCAGGCTAATCGGTAATCTCTTAAATAAATCGCTTACATGCACTCAAAGCCGGTAATGATATTGGTCTTAGAAATTTACGAGGCTATAAAATGTACAACCTATACTTTCTATCAGTAGTTTTTATTGCCCCCGCAATCCCGAGGAACTCGCGCGTATATTAAGGAAAGTACTTACAGTTGAAATATACAGTCATACAGGCAATATAGAAAAAATCTCGATTTGCTTGAACAGTAGTCTGCTACACAGCCGTTTTTAGTGTCGTCACGCAACGCTCCTCCCCACTAAAAACGGCTGTGTAGCAGACTACTTGAACAGGGGCCGCGAGGAATCGGTAGGTAATGATGACGTTTCTATCGTTTGCGCCCGCAAGTACGAAATGGTTAGGATGACGTAAAGACAGAACATCCCCAAGGGACCGCTTAGGTAGATTTTGTGACATTTATTGTGCAGTCATACTTCGACACTCTTTTGCGTTACGTTCAGTGGAGCAGTTGTTTCGGTGAAAGTTATGGACCAAAATTTTAATGACACTCGTTAAGCGCAGAAGAAGTTATAAGGTGCGTATAACTGTGTATATATAAACACTTGGAGAGGTTGCCAGACACGAGTTCACAAATCGTTCATTGGAAACCTTGCCAGACACTCTTTCTCTCTCTTTGACCGGAATAAGACTCAACCCCAAATAAGCAAGACAAGTGAACAACGGCTAGCTTCTCACTAGCACAACGATGGACGATTACAGAAATTCTCCGACAATCACATTCTGCGCTGACTTATTCCCTGCTCACAGATGTCCTTCCAATAAAAAATCTAAAAAAAGACTAGAATGCGCGCGTGTGAATTGATCCGGGGGGGGTACTCCCATACATTACCTATATGGGTATGTGCCGCCCAAAGGGGTCGTGATTTTGAAGCTCCTGATTTAGAACGGGGTATCCATTTCAAAGGCGTTTTCTAGAACGGGGCATAATATTTCGAACCCACGAAAGCTCTCCACTTTTGTAAGCAGCCATTTGAAAGTATTCAAGGACAGATTGCTTTTAAAAATACGGTCAATGCGTTAACAAGCAAACCGTTGTACTCTTGTTGCACCCTAGAACGGAGTATAAAAAATTGGCCCATTTCTAGAACGGGGTATTAGTTTTAGGGCGAATTCTAGAACGGGGTATCAATTTCAGTGGAAATTTTTTCTAGAATGGGGTGCCAATTTGGAGTCCCGGGCGGTACATACCCACCCAAAAAATACCCAAGTGCCCCCCCCCCGGGAATTGATCAAACGTCCTTTTAATTTCTAAGGCTTCCTTTCCGGCAAATAAAGTGAACTGAATATAAAAAGTGAAAGATAAATAGCGAAAAATTCAACTTCTAATTAAATCTTTTCTTATGGTTTAGAATAAACTATTCTCGAAACTGAGAATGTTTTGATCAAAGCTGTGTAAATCGACCTGAAACTGTGCATGGAACCTTGAGTTTCCTGTATTTATCTCACCTATTGTATGGAATATGTGTGAAAATCTTCCTTATGAATCGGTATATTTCAAAGAGCTACACAACGAGCAAGAATGCTATTGACCGACAATATACAGAGCGGGGGCAGCTGTAGTGTCAACTATTACTAGTTATAAAATGCAGCAAAAACGTCAGTTACTTAGCGAGCAGTTCAGTTCTCCACTACTACTTGCAGTAGCCTGCGTAGCAGGTAGTTGTTGGGTGTGTTTTTCGTTCCTAGTTGAGATACAGCGGCGCGAAAGATCTGAGGCCAGAGATGTGGCCAGAGGCAGGAGGTTATTCTACAGAGTTATCCTCGGCCAGGCCCGTAGCCAGGTTTTTTTTTCTGTGACAGTGCGTTCCAACGAGAAGACGGACCAAAACGAGTGCACTTGATTCTTGGATGGGGAGGGGGCGTTGGGAGAATTTGGTTTTCTGAGAGTACATTGCGAGCGTTTTGAGGGCCAGCAGTATTAAGAAAAATCGAAACGTGGACAATCGGCAAAATTCTGGACCTTCAAAATTGATTAAATGGCAAATAGACTACTTTACGTACGTATTTTGATAATGGCATTAAAAGTTCAAAAGTAAAATTGAAAGAAAGTTGTAAATCTGATTATTCACAAAGTTTGCTGCTGATCATAATGATCTTTCAGTAGTGTTCCAAGTTGGGGGCTTCTTAGCAAACAGATGAACGATGCAGAAAAAAGTATGTTAGAAAGTACCCCCGGGGGGGGGGGTGGAAAAACCCCTTTAAAAGCCATATAGGTATGTGCCACCCCAAGGGTATGGTTTTTGGACCTTTTTGGTCTGAAAACGTGTGTAAATTTTTCTCTGAAATCGACTATGGTTTATGAGGGAACTACGGGAGCGTATGAACGTACTTATCGTAGACATATTAGACTTTGCAAGCAGAAAACTGCAATGCTGATCGCACTACGTGAAAATAAATTCTGCAAGACATCAACACGACACCGAAAGAACTCAAAACAGAGCGGGATTGTAGCCATAGGCAGTTGTTTCGCCCTCTTCGGGGCTTGTCAGTATGGCGTAACAACCAGAGAAAGCTCTAATGAAAAATATCCGCGCACTCTGATTTGAGCCCTGACCTAGAACTCTCAACACCCCCCCCCCCCGACCCCGCCCCCCCAAAAAACGAAATAGAAATATGCGAATTCGAAATGCATTTGAATAAATGATTTTATGTTTATGCTCTAATCTAAGTAATCATGACACAATTTCTGCCTAAAGGCAAGGTCTGAAAACGGGTATGGATTTTAAAGGTCTGTTCTGAAAACGGGTGTCAAAAAGACATTTTTGGTCTGAAATAGGGTCAGGATTTAGAGAACTGGGCGCCACAACAAGAATTCCTAAGAGCACCCCCCAGGGATTAGTACATATAAGTTATATTTCTCTAGTTACGTGACACTTAACAGATGAGATGGGCCACTCCCCCTAGGGCATCCCTATCCAAATGCGCAGTAATCTCTAACTCCTAATTGACCCGCAAGATTTTTAAATGAAATAAACACGGTTCTTATATAATTCTGCAGCCCAAAAATCTTCACTGATGGCACTTTCAGTTTCTTTTCGAGGCAGTTTTAGAACAGAGGTAATCATACATTGACAAAATATGGCAGTGGCCCCTCTTCTTGGTTTCTTCCGCCCATTCTCTGGTGAACTATGTTAAGAACTGCTCAACCGTCGCAAAAAATTCAGAACGATTTTGCAATTACATGTACATTGTAGGCAAAGTATCACTAATTCACTTTGTTTAAAATCATTGGTCAACAACCCTCCGGTGCCTGTGGGGAGATGCAAGGTGATTTGATGCACCCCCTCCTCCTAGAGCCTACAGAATTCCCCATAGTTTTTACTTTGATTAACTTAAGAGTCATCTTCACAAACATAGGTCATATGGTTTTCATAATGTTGAAGAAGAAGAGCCTCGCTACTCATCTCCTCTTGACAAATCCAGCAGCTGTAATTCTCAAAGATGACCAATTGTGCATCTGCTAGATCAGTGCTTCCAGTCTGCCTCTGTGTTTGAAGTTTGTTTGTAAAACCTATGGCTCTGCTAACGTCAACGTTTTTACCTCCCGCTCTCTTCCACTTGCAAGATTTCAAACGTTTAGACAAACTTTTGTTTTTCAAGGAACACTTACGTGACTCAACCACAGTGTGAATTCCTTCATGAATCCTTAGGGTTCCTGCTTGGCTAAAACACTTGCCACACTGTTTACATTCATAAGGTTTTTCCCCAGTGTGAACTCTTTCATGAATCGTTAGGGTTCCTGCTTGGCTAAAACACTTGCCACAGTGTTTACATTCATAAGGCTTTTCCCCAGTGTGAACTCTTTCATGAATCCTTAGGTATCCTGCTTGGCTAAAACACTTGCCACACTGTTTACATTCATAAGGCTTTTTCCCAGTGTGAATTCTTTCATGAATCCTTAGGTTTCCTGCTTTGCTAAAACACTTGCCACAGTGTTTACATTCATAAGGCTTTTCCCCAGTGTGAACTCTTTCATGAATCCTTAGGCCTCCTGCTCGGCTAAAACACTTGCAACACTGTTTACATTTGTAAGGCTTTTCCCCAGTGTGAACTCTTTCATGCCTCGTTTGCTCTCCTGCATTCGTAAAACACTTGCCACACTGTTTACATTCGTAAGGCTTTTCCCCAGTGTGAACTCTTTCATGAATCCGTAGGACACATGCATTTCTAAAACACTTGCCACACTGTTTACATTTGTAAGACTTTTCCCCAGTATGAACTCTTTCATGAATCCTTAGCGTTCCTGCTTGGCTAAAACACTTGCCACACGTTTTACATTCATAAGGCTTTTCTCCAGTGTGAACTCTTTCATGAATTCTTACGGTTCCTGCTTGGCTAAAACACTTGCCACATTGTTTACATTCATATGGCGTTTCCCCAGAGTGAACTCTTTCATGCCTTTTTAGGTTTCCTGGTAGACTAAAAAACTTGCCACACTGTTTACATTCATAAGGCTTTTGCCCAGTGTGAACTCTTTTATGATTCCTTAGGTGTCCTGCTTGGCTAAAACACTTGCCACATTGTTTACATTGATGGCGTTTCCCCAGAGTGAACTCTTTCATACCTCCTTAGGTTTCCTGGTAGACTAAAGCACTTGCTGCACTACAGGCACTCAGAGGACATTGAGTTTGTTCTTCTTGAAACGTGTTACAGTTATGGTACCCTTTGGCAGGAAAAAGAAACATCCTAAAGTAAGTGCACAATGATATTTTGCTTTCGTCCCCCAACTTGTAGCCAGGGCGTGCGAGATCTGAAGGTTGTCAGCGAGATGTGGAAAATTAGAAAACTTTGAAGATACCTGCCTATGAAAAAGTGGTTCTACACGTTTCATAAACTAACCAAATACCTACATGTACAACTTTACATGACTCCTTCAACATGGAGAATGGATCAACAGGGTTAAATTAATCAATTGTTGACTTTGTATTTGGATTTGAGACTTCCCTGTGGTTTGGAAAATAACATGCATTTATAAATGGTAATTAAGGCTCATCATGCAGCTTTAATACAGAAAATAGTAGAACCTGTATGACTGTAAATCCCCTATAAAGCTCCCTGGGGGCTTATTTTTTAAGCATGTTTAACAGAGAGTAAGGATTATTTGAGAGGGAGGGTTATTTAATTTAGTGAAACGCATTACCAAAGGCAAAAAAAAAAGGGGAAGAAGCAGACTAAAGAAACTGTTTCCTTTTGCCAATCAACAGCATTATCTTGGGTAAGAAAACAGTATTCTACATGGTAATATACATGATGAAAAAACTGCAAAAAGGGTGAAAAGTGCAAGAATGGGGTGGAATGTACCTGAGGTATAAAAATAAAAACTTTAGCAAGTGTCACAGGACAAAAAGACTCTCGAAAGGCATAATGATAGTCTTTAAAACAAAATGTCTACAAACTCGTTGCATTCCTTACATTAGTTTGGGGCATGCTGGTTGACAAAACCCCTCCATAGAAAAAAAAAATTCTAAACAACAATAGAACTGCGAAAAACACGCTGGTTCTGATAAAAGTTTTGCGAATACCGCTTCTAATTGAATTTACAAAGGAAAAGAGAACACTGAAAACCATGTAAATCGAGCTGCAAAGAACAAACTGGTTCTGACAAAAACTTGAGTGTACAACCTTAATACTTGATCAACTGTTGCTTTAAATGTAAATTATAGAGCAAAACTGAGCACTAATGGCTCTTTCAAACACGAAATCGTATTAAAGCTTTCTCACACGTTAGATCCTCAGGAACAGATAATGATCAGTTTTACACTGGACCACTTTATCTCGTATCAGAAGTTGCAAATAAAGACCATGACATGATTGCCTAAATATGGGGTCTTACTTACACTCAAAATTAATATATTCAAAAAATTCAAATTATATAAGCTTACACAGAATTATGAATCTTCAGTGGAGGCAACCTCGCTTCTTAGCTTGGTTGCCTCGTTGGCACTAACATACATTTACAATATTGGTCATTCAGGTTTATCATGCAGCTTTAAATGTGCCAAAAATTAAGTGGAACCTGGTTTATCATATATCCTCTATAAAGCTCCCTGGGGGCTTATTTTTTAAGCGTGTTTAACAGAGAGTGAGAATTATTTGATAGAGAGGTTACTTAATTTAGTGAAACGCATTAGCAAAAGCAAAGAAAAGAGAGAGGAAGAAGCAGACTAAAGTAATGCTTCCCTACTTCCTGTTCTGGAACTGGAATAAACAAACAAATGCTCAATATTTGTAAATAGGCTTTTTATCATGATTAATGTAATTTTATTGTTATCAATTTGCTTTTTTTTAGAGGGCCACTAGGGAGGGAGAAAACTGGAATTCTTAAGATCTTTTATTATAATTACTATTTGTAAATAGGCTTTTTATCGTGATTGTTGTAATTTATTATTATCAATTTTGTTTTTAGAGGGCCACTAGGGAGAATACATCATAATAATAGGTGTCACCCTCTTAAAATAAAGGTTATTATTATTATTATTACAACATCAAACAAACAGCAGCCAACAGATGATGTCAATTCTGTATAAAACAAGTGGAATGCACATTGGAAACACTCGAGCACAAAAACTTGGAGGTTATGCAGTTGAAGATCAAAAACAAATTGCAACTTCTAGCACAAGAATAAGTTATACCAGATCAGCAGTGATTTTGTTACAAATAGTTATGGTACAGTGCACGTCCTGGGACAAGTGGGAAATCACGAGTCCCAGTTCAAAACACAATGAGATCTAAGGAATGGTTCATTATTTATGGGAATGACCCGGTCGAGAAAAAACCGAACGGGCCTTGAAGATTTTTCTTTCAGTGGCAACAGGTTTTTTTTTTTTCTTGAACAAAAATATTGGGCTTTAAAAAAATATCAACTTATGCTAAAACTGTGGTAGAAACGCGACAGTTATTTGACGAGACAACCCATAGAAACTGTATTGGTATTGAAATGCACTAAGTCTTGATAAATTGCGGTACAAGGAGAGAGAGTCGATGACGCGCCAGTGTTAGAGGATTACTTTCACAACTGCTCTCCCTGCTAAAAAAATCAAAGCTGATAAGGAGTAATCTTAAGGAATACCAATCTGCGACTCAGAATAGGAAATCATGTGCCCCTGGAAGTGCAAACATTAAAAAAATTCTACAATTTACCAATGCCCATTTCAAAATTGGTGAGCTCTTTATGGAGTACTTGTATGGTGACAGCTCTACCCCGATCACTGAACATTGTTCGTTTTGTTCTAACAAAGGATGGACAAGTCCTGTGCCCATGAAACGTATTCCCCAGCCTGTGCCAGATCCTGAAAATCCTACCCATTTTAAATCGGTCAATGAGACACCAACTACCACAGAAAAGGGCAACCTCAAGTGCCAGATGATTTTCAACCAGGTGTAAAAATAAAGAAAATGTTTAATGCCGGCATGTTAATAACGGAAGAAGAGATGCAGCAGTTTTCAGAGAATTTTGCCATAGAGACGCACTTGATCATGTATATTGCTCATCTAGAAGATCTCAAACAACAAAGCAGCATTTTTAAGAGAACAAGGGGGCGCATAGAACAAAGGCGTAAATTAATGTCCAAAAAACAAAAGAATATGCGTGGCGCCATCTCGTGGAGTCTGGAGATTTACAAAAGTTGCTTGTGTCTGAGCTCAATAAATATCTTAAACATTACAAACTCATAAGCAGCAGCACCAAAGCCAAAAAGATAAGGTGAATCTTGTTGTGTGTGCTTCATGGGGAGGATGGTCAAAAGGAAGATATAAATGAGTCTACTAACAAGGAAGCAAAGGATGGTGGAATGGAAGATAACAGCAAGAAAATTGACAACTCAGGGGATGATGAAAGTGAGGGGGATATTGTCCTTGCAGAATGGTCAAGTGGGCCTGACTCAGAGCAAGACGCAACTCCTGGCGAACGGAAATGTTATAGCATGGATGAAAGTGATAAGATATGGTTTGTCTTTCAAAGCGATTCAGAGGAAGAAGAATTTATGGTTTTGATTGAGTTTGCAAACAGTTGATGTTCTTCAAATTTAATGCAGGTCACTGTAACAGAATCTAATAAATGAATGTAGTATAACATATAAATTCGTTTAATTTTTGCATTAGTTACCAGTCTTTCCATGTCTTACTGATGCAACAGAGACCTGGAACAAAGTATTGAATGGCCTCTCAAATCGTCTCGCAAACGTGTTCTCAACACATTTTAAACACAGGTTTGTAGAAACTTATTCCTTTAAAAAAATGTTGAACACTTTCAGCGAAACTTTTACTTCACAAGAAGTTCTATTTGGAGACGTTGGAAAACTCCAAACGTTCTTCCAAGTCATTGTATTAATACAAACATCCGAACATACACTAGTTGCTCCAGTTGTAAATAAACATTCCATGATTTTCACAAGTTACTCACCTCAAATCAGTGTCAAACTGAACAGGCCTTGGAAAATTTGACCCCAAATACTGCACAGGCTACGAAAAAGACAGTGTGCTTTTTGGGCGGGCTTTCGAAAGAAAGAGGAAGGCTTTTATTTTTTTCCCGACCTGGTCATCCTTATAAATAATGAACCATCCCTAAAGTGAAAATGCTTTGGCCTTTATGTAACCACGGAGTTAATCTGAAGACAGACTCCAAACCTCTGTATTACAGTTCACTGAAATAAAAATATACTCCTTCTATTTTAAAGTACAACAAAGACTAAAGGAAATTTAATATGCGTCGTTAACAACAGCCACAGAAATTATACAAACAGGAGATTCTAGAAAAACATCTTCATATCACTTGACCAATCTTTGTGTCCTATGGGATGCATACCATGAATTATTCTGTATCTTGGGGGATTGTTATGCTTAAGGAAAGCAGGACTCAGAGGTGACAAAATCGTTGGATCAGTCAACATGAAGTGTCACAGTTTGATTTATTAATACAACCTATCACCTATTCATTTGGTCCAAATAATAATTAACAATTATTGCTCAAGACTGAAGGGGTTCTGAGTCAATAGCCCATGAGGTCGAAGGCCATATGGGCTATTAACTCAGAGGCCATGATAGTGAGAGGAATAATTGTTTTAATAAAATCCAACTATTTGGTCAAATGCTTTCACAATTGTGTACGTGAAAGCCCTTAATATTAAGAAGTGTATATGAAAGCCCTTAATATTAAGAAATCACAGTAGATAACTAATGTGGAAATTGACTGAACAACAAAGTAAACAATACTCTTATTGAATTGAACTATTTCCTTCAAAATTGCTTAGATACAAGTAGACTGCTACCCATGAAGAGCAAGGAGAGATGGCTGTATTCACAGGCAAAGATAATACATGACAACACGCAACGTCCGTGTTAGTTGCAGAACTGTCAAGGATTGGAATGCGTTACCAAGCAAAATTGTTAACATTAAGTCCACAGATCGATTCAAAAAAGTCTTATTTGAGTATTTTAGTCAAGGATGAATTTTTAATATTACATGATGATTGATGCTTTGGAATTTTATCCATTTTATCTTTTGTTGAAAATTTTTTCACGGTCATTACTTTTAACTTTATTTCATTTTATTCAGTTCAGCGTC